TGCCCCTGCTGACGACACGCCCCTGGGTCCTGCCCCGGCCCCTCTCTGGGGCTTTCCTGAAGTCCGGCTCCAGTGACAAAGGCCCTGTGTTTTCTCTTCAAGCTGCTGCCTGGCCGGCCGATTCGCCCTCTCTGCATCTGTGCGGCAATTCCCAAGTGCGGGCAACTCGCCCGCGCCAGCGAGCACCTCAGGGACCAACGGGACGGTCTGCCTGTGCTGGCGTCCGCCGCGGCCCCACCTACCTGAGTCACGGACACGTGTCTCCCACCGCTGAGCGGGCAGCCCTGGGGCTGCCTCTCCAGGGCAGGTCTTGCCACCGCGCCGGTCACGAGGGAGGCATGCGGCCTCTGTCCCCGAGACCAAGACTTCCTGAGGGGCAGGGGCCACAGTTCCTCTCACCTAACAACCGCCCGCTGCCCGCGTGCTCAGGAAGGACTCGCGGCAGCAGACTGGGGCACAGACGGCACCAGGAGTGCCTGGCTCAGGTGAGGAGGCTGAGCAGGGAGGTGGGGACTGAGCGGCAGGCCCTAGGGGACTGTGACGGGTGCTGCCGGCGGCCCCAGGACTCACCACAGGCTCCGGGCTCCCTGCACTGTCTCCGGAGGCTGCGCCGGCGCCGGTCTGAGCGGGGACGGGGCCGTGGCTCGGGGAGGAGCGGCTGTCGTGGAAGAGGACGAGAGGCGCACCGAGCAGGCCTCAGAGTGCTGTCACAGCCCGGCCGGCCCGCCCGCACCCACACGCACTCTCCTCTCAGGTTCAGATCTGACGGGGGGACGATCACCCCTCCACGGGCAGGACATCAGGCCCCATGAGACCCAGGGACGCCGTCAGCCGACATCAGCACCAGCGGCGGATCCAGTGTCCAGACCCACAAGCCAGCAGCCATCTGCTCGTCTCCCCCAAGGGCTGACCCAGGCTCCCGCGTCCACACGGACACTCACCCGGGCCCAGACCTGGTGGCAGGTGACGTGGAGGAGCATTCACCGACGACGGCGACGCTTCTCAGGGAGAGAGGTGCAGGGTCTGCTGGAGGAGGAAGCAGTGATGACGCCACTTACACACACGCAGGGTCTGCAGAGGCCCCCACACAGCCCAGGTGCACGCAGAGACCGAGCCAGCAGGGTCACATCACCTTTGCCCACGGTGACAGGCCTCAGGGTCACATCTTCGGATCCCACGGTACCTGTGGCAATCATACCGTACTTTCGTAATCCCAAACGGGGACATGCGGTGTGTCATCAGATTTTCTGCCGAGGTCTACAAGCGGAGTGGAGATGGCTCCTGCAAGTGCCCGGGCCACCCCCGCACAGCTGTGCAGCCCACGGAGGAGGCAGCTGGGCGCTGGGAGGCGTGGAGGCCTCCGCTGTGCGCTGAGATCAAAGCCCGCCGGGGGACCCAAGGGGCCGGCTCCACCTGGCTCCCCAGTCCTCCCGAGCTGGGTGCCGGGCCAAGGCCCACAGGGCGAAGTGGCGGCAGACGGGGACCCCGACCGCAGCTCCTCTCGCTAGCCCACGTGCAGGGAACAGCCCCGGCCCCTCTGGACACCTGCCTCACGCCAGAGCCTGTCCTGGCCATTCTCCTAACACACCTGGGAGGCAGGAGTTACTCCCCCACGACACAGATGGAAACACGGGGGCTGAGAGAATTCCCATGATTGGACCAAAGCCACAAGCCCACGTCCGGGACCCGCCTGGCACCGGCCAGACGCAAACAGTCCCTGGATAATGAGCAGGGATGGAGGGGCAAGAGCAGGCTTACTTTTCTGGCCAGGCTTGAGGCTGCGG